TATATATATATATATATATATATGTATACATATATTGTATATATGTTTTTCATAAATTATATATTTTCATAAATTATATTTTCATAAATTCTGTGAAAAATAATGATAAGCGTGCAAAAAACTAATATATAAATTTAACATAACACAGTTCTCAGGCGATTTGCAGCACGGAGCGTGGGCCACAATGATCACGGATCGAACGCACGAAGCGGCGCCCTCCTCGTCCGAAAGCATTCCGAATTGTTCGAGCGCCGAGCACAGCGCCACAGTGTATGCACGAGCGAAACACGCCTTCCGGGGGCGCAACAACGATGAGGTTCGCTTCATTCATTGGCGTTTTGCACATGGCGGATAGGAGGCTGTACTGATGGTTCCCACTCCTAACTGGCATGCATGCCTCTGTTTGTGCTTACAGCTAAGGGATAAAACATACACTCACTTTGTGAAAAAATAGCAAATGTAAATTTTTCGAAAAAATGCAAATTTCCAGTTCACTAAAAAGTGGCAGTATTGCTCGAGCGGTCGTTTGTCAAAAAATGCACGCCAGTACCTTCAATAGCTTGATTTATTACTTCGTTCTTCCTATTATTTCATCACAGAGAGCGAATACTGCTGAGAAATGCTATTTCTGTAGTATTTCTCATTGGAAGTAATAAATCAAAGCAGAGCAGAGCAGTATGCAAAGCAGAGCAGGCCACCCGACAGAAGCATTTTGATCACCACGTGAAATGACCATTCCCTGTTGGTTCGCTTGGCGATCGTCCAAAAAACTCACTAGTTTTCCAACGAAATGCTTTGACCTTTCGTGTGTGTGTGTGTGTATAATAAGCTTAATAACGCAAATACGTTGGAGCAATTGAACCAGCAAAACGATTGAACAGTTGAACATCTTATTCATCTCAAATTTGGGTTATTAAACGGACTGTAGCAACCAGGTTGACCATTGAAATCTGATTGGCGAAGACGCGATGGATTACAATATAAGAGAAGGAGATAAGAGTGAGATAAAACGTTTCGGTCCATTAAGTCATATATAAGCCTAAACTCAAAGCAGCGCGACATGACCTCGTCAGTATGACAGTCGCAGTGCTTAATGGAAAAGGAAAAGAGAAAGATGACAAAAAGAAGCAGAAGAAACGACGATTTTTGATTGTGGGATTAGATGGAGTAAGAGCGGGATGAAGCAAGAAGGAGGAAGAAAAGGATTTTAGAAAAAGATAAATAGCAGCGCGCCCCAGACTAGCCGGTGCGATCACGCGTTTTGTGCAATTCAGCCCATCGAACGATTGCCTATTAATGA